ATATATATATATATTTGGGTTAAGAAGTTCAGAATTGCTTTTTGTTGTTGTTTACCCATTATAGCTAGATAGGAACAACTGATTCATGGAAAACGAGGTGATAAATGAAAATATTTTTGTCCAAAAAAATTGTGATAAATGAAAATACTTTTGTACAAAAAATTGTTTATCAAGAATGTTTTTTTTGGCCTTTGTTTATCAAGTTTGTTTACAAATGAATAATATTGTGTACTATATCCAGATGAACATGTAAATACCCTTGTTGGGAATTTTTGAGGACTTATGGAAGAACTTGCACATTTCTTTAAAAAAAAATTAAATAAATTGAGGTTATGATTTAAAAATAAAGTTAATTTCATTTTAACAATCAAATTGACTTTATGATATTTATCTTCAACCTCAAAGACCTCTTTCTTCTTCCCTCAGTTTTTCCCTCTTTCTTTCTTTCCTAAATGAGCTTAATTAATTTTATGTATGATAAAATGCAATGACTGTATTTAATAAAACCTATAACCATAAATTAAAAAGAGATTGAAACTATGTAAACTGTAAGCAATCCTTGGATAATGTATGGATAGTGCACGAATAATGCACTTTTGGGCTTAAAATTTAGTTAAAATTTTAAAAAACCCAATAATTAGTTGATAAATTGATGTTTTCTTTTAAATTTTTATCTTTGGAGTTTTGTTCCACCTGTTTGTTTTCAATTATTGTAGCAAAATACAAACAGCAGTAACGTCTTGATTATTGACATATCTATAGCACAACTAATAGTTCTTGCCGTTATTGATATCTTAGTTCCACCCTTGATAATCTTTTATAATGAGTTATATCTTATATTATATTTATGAAAAAAAATTTTGGCACCATTTTAATCTTATTCAAGCTCTGTTCCTAATTCTATTAGTAGGTAAGTGGACTTACTTGCCAAAATACTTTTAGCTGTAGCTTCCTTTAGTGTCTTTGTGTAATGTTGTAAATTGTAGAGTACATCTACAGAATCACAATCTGAAATGATGTATTTGCAGCAAAAACCAAAATTCTAGTAAATGAATCTTTTTGTTTCCAACATTACCATTTTTTTTAACTTAAGATGAAAAGGCATGCCCATTTAATTTCCATTCACCCCAGATGACATCACAAGGAGATTCGGATCTACCCAAGTTTGCTTGCCATTAACTTGGTTGTATGAACACATCACCCTTGCCACATACCATCAAGAACATAGCTTTGAATGGTACAATTTAATCTAAATAAAAAAGAAAAAAAAAAGGTGAAAATTTAGCTAAACTTAACAAGAGAGAATAGTATCCTTTAAATGGCTTTGAAGAGAGAAACATTGAAGGAAGTCGTTGTCAAGATGATATGAGGAAAGTTGGTGGCACAAGGGACCACATTGGAAAAATGAATATTGAGATCGATGTAAAACACTCCATGTAAAATAGTCAATCATTATTCGTATAAGAGAATCTCACCTCAATTAACACTCTTGGTAGTGTCCACAAAAAACCCAATCTTCTCTTGCAATGTTAGCCTTTACCAAGTCAGTGACGGTAATACCCAAAATTTTTTTGGAAGCTTAATTTATTTGATTAAATACCTAGATTAAATAAATAAAAGTTAAGGGAATTTAGTTGTAGTTACTAACAAGGGACTTAATTGAACCAAATCTTTGTGGATTTAAATGTTCAGAGTTAAAAACTTGGGAGAATTAGAGGGTTTTTAGGAAAATTTTAAAAGTATTGAAATTAAAAGTACTATTTTTTAATAAAATTTAACTCTTCATTTACATTTAGGGGAACGAAGAGGAGAAAAAGAATTCCCTTCTCCTTATTTAAATAAATAATTAAATTAAAGAAAAAATAAAATAAAAAAAATTTGTTTTCTCTTTTTAAAATTTTTTTAATAACTAAAT